ACACTGCCACCCTGGAATGACGTGATAAAGCCGCGTAATTAAAATATGAACAGCGTTCATCTGTTGGCCCAAACATGGCTGATGGCTGCCCCCGGTGGTGCTCCATTTTAAATAAATGTTTTATGGCAACAGAAAGCACACAAAGCCAAGAAAAATGCCAGTCGCATTAGCCTAGGCTCAAGGATAGAAAACCGGGCACGAAGAGTGGGTCTCTCACGCGGATATGGATGTTGATGTGGATGTGGATGTGGCTGCGGATTGGTGTTGCCAAGAGGCCAACACATGGCCAGGAGATGGAGCTGGAGCTCTACTATAAAACTAAGCTGAAGCTGCGGGAGCTAATAAATTTCTCGACGTCTGCCTGCCAGCCTGGCAGCCAGCCAGCAAGCCTGCCTGCCTGCCGTTTGACGCTATTGATCGTTAAGTAAATTGTCTGCAATTATGCCAAAAGGGAAAATAATAGAAATTATAACGAAAATGCTGTGTTGCGGCTGTTGACTTTTTTGTGGCTCTTTGTGGAAATTGTGGGAAGTGGAAAGCACTGTGACAGCCGCATTTGTGCATAAGTTGTGCCGCCTTATCTGGCCCAGGAAATGCTGGCGATCATAATTTTCTCTTAGGTGGCAAATTGCTGGCAGTTGCCAATTGCATGTGGGTCAGGGCGCTCACGAATCCAAATCCTCCAACCCAAGTCCCAGCTCAAATACGAATCGGAATCCGAATCCCAGGGCTCCCCAGACGGTTCCTGACATTTATATTTATAACTCGTGCAGCAATCGTTAATTGTTTGGCTCTTGATAAGTGAAATTTACTATGCTCTTGCCATACTTTACGAGAGCCCCGACAGGAATCCAGAGTTAACCATGGTCAGGCATTGCAACTGACCAACTGACTGACAACTGACTGACTGGCCAACTAACTGGGCTCTTTGCGTTTGGTCTGGCTATTTTGTTTTTTGGTATTTGGTAGTGGGTCTTTGGCCTGGCTTGTGTCAGCCGGCTATCGCAATGTTACATCCGTGCGTGCTGTCAATTAACATGGCCAACAACCGAATCAATTAAGCACTGGCCAGTGGCCAGCGATGCTAATAATGGCCACGCCCCAAGCCTCCAGATCTGGCCTGTCATAAGCCAAATGCAAATGCACATTCCGAGGGTCAGAACCGGACAAACATTTAGCCGAATGGAACGTTGCCACAAACTTGTCCTCCCATTTGATTGATGCATGTACCGAGCTTGCAGACAAACTGTTTAATTGGTGCATGCTCCGGCAAAAAAAAACGGGGGAAAAAAGGGGCTTAGCAGGCCGAATCTGCATTGTTGATTACATAAGCGCCGCTGGGTTGACAAATGTTTAGGCAGGACTCTGATCCTGTTTTCACACATTGTGCAACACGCCCCCAGCCACGACAGTTGAGCTGTGTTCTCCAATGTTTATTTATTTATTTACTTTTTTCGCATGCCGTTTGGACTTTAGTTGTTGCCCCGCCCGCGCATTGTCACTTTGGCGAATGCCGAATGTTCGATTCGATTTCAATTGGAAATCGCGGCAACGTGTAAAAATATTTGTGCAACTGACTGCACTGCGTTTTTCTTTTGGGCAGTCTCTGCTCTATGCCTGTAACTGTTTCTGTTTCTGTTTCTGATTGCTGCCTTTGATGCATTTCAAATGAGTTGATTTATGGCAAGTTTTTGGCTGGCTTTTGAATGACTGAATGACTGGCTGCCTGACTGACAGACTGACGGACTGACGGACCATGGGTCTCCGCAAACAGGCTGGCTGGCTGACTGACTGGCTGGCTGGCTTATGTTTGCGCTGTCGCAGAGCATGAATGAAGGCTTGTTGATGTTGTGACAGCTCCAAAAACTCCAAAAACTGGCCAGACTCTGTAGACATGTTAAACTGCTTTAATTACTCCAGCCAGCATGTGTAATATATACATATATATATATATATATATATATACCTATCTACATATGTATATGCGCCTGATTTTTGGGCCATAGATTTATGAGAATTTATGCCGCACCCAGTTACCGCTGTCTCAGTTACAGATACAGATACATTTCGCATTCGCGTTCCAGTTTCAACAAACCGATGCCCTTAGCCAAAAGGAAAGTTGGACTTGTCTATGGACATGCCGAAACTTATCTTAACTGACCTGCAAATAGTTTTATTTCTAGTAGAGCAAAAACAGCATTTGACGCCCACGCGAAACAAGCTAAGCAAAATAAAAAAAGAAGCAAATGGTCCACATGGTTGGTATTAACCCTTCCTGGCTCTTTGCCTCCAGAAGGACTTTGATAAATTCCGCACAAACACACCGGTAATTTGAATAATGAAGCGGGGGCCCCAGCCTGAGTTAGGGGGCATCAATCTGTCAACGCCGCATTCGACGTCGCATTCTGTTGCATGCGCATGCGCACAGTTTGAGTTCGATGGGTTGCCTGCCACCGTAGCGGCGGCCGGCAAAAAAGAGATCCAGCAAAACGACATCGCGTGCCGCTGGCTAGGAACCCATGGCTTCCAGGCCGCTCCACCGATCCACCAATCCACTCCACCGCCTTGTGCCGCGTGGGTCGTCTCAGTCGCAGTCCCCGTCCAAGTCCCAGTCATCGTCGTCTATCAATTAAACAAAGCGGCGCTGTGCGCTGCGCGCTGTACGTCGGCGGCTGCAACATCCAACATCAAATGCAAGGCCGGCACGGCTGCCAGGTACTCAAATACTCAAATACCCTGATACCCATACCCATACCCATACCCTGGCATCCCAGATCCGAGAGCCACGAGACCCGGCTGGACCCGATCCGTCCGGCCACCCAAAACGCTGCTCCAGTTGCCATTCGAGCAGCGCTTCCGCGCTCGCAGCCAACCAGTTTTTGCTTCTGCGGCACTAAAACCAATTTTTGCCAAATCCAAATTCAAATTATGTTTTTAAAAATAAATAAAATGCGACAAAGCCAGCCGTCTAAATAGGCAATGATTGTCAGTTCATCTATTCATCGATTGACGTTTCCATATTAATAGGAACTATTGTTATGAATGATATTGATTTAACAGTTTTTATGGCCAATTTAAAAAACATAGGAAATATTTGTCTATAACCTTTACTTCATTGTCTTATGAACTTTCTACATTTATTAATAAATAGCTATATTTAGCCTACTAAGCTTAGCCTATTTCCACTTGAACTTCTATAGACCGATTTCTTGCAGTGTGTTCGTTTTGTTTGAGTTGGTTTGGATTCGTTTCGTTTTGTGTGTTTCGCGGGTCTCGTGCAGGACAAACATGGAGCATTATTTAACGACACAATTCGTGCAACTCCCACGCATGCAAACGGCAACTCCAAACAAAACAAACCCCCTAAACCCCAAACAAAAACTAAAAAAGAAGTACAAAACGGAGCGAAAAGCTACAAAACTGAAAGCGAAAAATGCGAATTGGGGGTCTGGGGGTCTCGGGTTTTCGACGGTCTGATGGCTGGGCCTCTTAACTGATGGCCCAGCGACCGAAATTGGCGCAAAAATGTCACCAGGCCGCACTCCTCGGGAGGGAGAGAGATCCGGAGGAGATTTGGGACGGAATCGCGCGAATCCATCGATCATCGCCGGCTAAAATGTCAAATTGGTTTATCAGCCCACAGGAAAGGCGGCTTTAATGTCAGTTTAGCAATTTGACAAATGACTTGCGATAATAAAAATGCTAAAAATGTGGCACGTTGCATATGATACTTAAGAGCTGAGGCTGTTGAAAGCCACGGCAGTGGTTCAACGAACTCCGTGGCACTAGTTTCTGTTATCGAGAGCAACTAATCGGCGATAAAGCCTCTTGCTTGTTAGCTTGTTAAATCACATGTAAGCGTGGCTAAGTTCGAAGATTGACGATCGCACATCGCGGCCATCGCCGGACATTCATAAATGACCAATCGGCGGTATGTATCGCATTTCAGTAACTGCAGCAGCCAAAGCAGCAGCAGCAGCAACAAACACCGAAACAACTGCCACAAATTACACGCAGCCCGGCGACAAGAGGCATTAATAATTGGCCAACTAAATGCAATATCGAAGTCGCTTGGCAAGCCTTATCAATAAAACTGTTTACGAGCCACGCCCGCACACACGCACTCTCCCCTACCACTGATCACTCCTCACTCTCCGCCTCAATCCACTGGCCAGCAAAAAAAAAAAGGCGATTCCGATTCAGATTCCGATTCCAGGATGACAAATTGCGCAAATCCATGAGATAGTTTTTGGCTCTTAGCATTTGCACGATCGCCGCGGCCGTTGCATAATGTGCCGCTTAGATTTGTATCTGCTGCATGCGCCATGTTGTTGACTCAAAACGCTGTCAAAATGGCCAGCCAGAAATGATTCGTGCGATAAAGCCCCAAAAAAGACAACGGCAAACAAACAAATGCAGCCAGCCAGGGAGCTGCGAGCTTTTTAGATTTTTGCCTGGGCTAGGCCTGCTCCACTGACCGCCGGTCAGGCATGAACATTTAATAAACATTTTTGCACCATTTTTCAGCCGCCCGACTGGCTGCCACTGCCACTGACGTTGCGGCTGCCGCTGCCGCAACGTCACTTCGGCTAATGGCCATCGTTAGCTGTTCATCCGCAGCCGGGGCTTATCAATTTATCAACCTCCAGCTTGAGCGGCAATTAGCCAGTCTAAGCGGCTAATTAAGTTGCGGCAGCACGAGCAGATTTCCACAAATGCTGATCGATGGCGCAGAGTTAGCACTCTGAGATGGATGAATGGGTGCATGGAGAAGTTACCGGCTGGTGGAGATGGTGGTAGTCGAGAATAAGGCAATGCTTTGGCCAACTAGCAGTAGTTAACAGATCTGGCATCGATTTGCCTCTCAAGATGAGTTTCTTTGAATGGATTTAAATATACTTTCTATGCCATTCCATATTCTCTTAATACTATTAATTTTTTTTTGTGCAGTGTTTGTTACTTTATGTATAACTACAAATAAATTTGTAAATATATACAAATATAAAACAGACAGAAAAAAGCACATTTGAAAAATCAGCATCCCAGCTGGGCTTCCCGGTAAAGTTGATCGAAGAGCCGGCATTCCTGCTCCGTCAGGGTCAGGATCAGCGTGTCGGGGTCCGCCTCGGCCGAATCCGAGGGCAAGGTCGCAGGCAAGGATCCGTCCGGTGCCGAGTTATGATGAGAGGGGGCAAAGTTAAGCCGGAAGTCGCGACGACAGAGCGGACAACGCGTGTCGCGACCGATTTGCATGTACCGCTCAAAACATTCCGCGCAGAAGGAGTGACCGCAGGATATAATGCGAGGATTTCGCTGTTCATCTAAACAGAATATGCACGGGTTAGCGGTCATGCTCTCTATAACTCATCAGCTTTAATCGCGTACTATTGAAGTGGTTGTTTTCTTTTCAGCAGGGTCGGCTTACAGCAGGATGGACACTACAAAATATAGGGATTCACCTGGGGGCTTCGTAACTAAACTGAAATATTCAACCGAAAGTCAAAAGAAATTTAAACGTAAATTCAGAGGCTACTGCGATCAAAGTTTGACATTTTACCGCGTGTCGTTTCTGTGGATAATACCAGGAGCTCATTTTTGGATTATACAACGATAACAACATTGTTGGCCATGTAACACCTATCGGCTTCATCCCCACTGCACCCAGTTCTTGATGAAGTTCTCATTCAGATCGTGTTCGGATCGGTGCGACTCGTTCCCAGGCAACTCTTTTTGCATAATTCCATTTAATCTCGGCCAAAGTTGAGGGCAATTTTCAATTTGACTTGCCGACATCGACGCTCCTGTGGCTGTTATTGTTAATATTGCCATTGTTGTTGTGGCCGTGTCGCTGTGTTGTTGCCATTCAAATTGCATTCAAATCAATTACATTCGAACTAAACATAATTCATGTGGTATGGGTTAATACAACAAATTACAACTGACATTTAAACAGAAACATGAAACGGACAATTTAACATGAGCGAGGAATAAGCTATTGAGGAAAAAAACAAAAAGAGAGATATGGCCCAGCAAAATCCGGCCAACAAAGGCAACTTCTGGGACCGATTGGTTAGCTGGCTGGCTGGCTCGCTGCTTGGCAGGCATCATATGCGGCCAAAAAAAGGCCAAAAAGATACGAAAACAGAATTCAACTTCAACCACACTAAATCGCAGCCACTCGGCCCCAGTTGGGCCAGGCAAGCCGGAGTGACCTTCAGTATCCACAAAAATGAAAATAAACAAAAAGGCGAAAAAATCAAAAAAGAGACACGAAAAAAGTGCAGCCCCACCACACACAGGCGAAACAACAATAAAATTCTTTTCTCACGATTGTTGACTTTAACACTTATAGCGTCGCAAGAAAATAAATAAAAAAAGCCCCAAAAAAATCGAAAACAAAAACTTAAGAGTGCGACTCAAAGTGGCGTACGAGTATTCACTGTCATTGTCAGAAATTAAGCCTCTGAGCTCAGCATGCAACACAATGAAAATGAGCTACTGCCACTGGGAAGTTGGCAAGTTATTCAGTTTTTAAGTTTTAGCTGCATCTCTGAGTAAAGCACATACGGAAGAACATGGAGGGTCAGAAATTGGCCTGCTCCACATGCATTTCAATGGAAACGAAATCGAAGCGGAGATAAATGTTCTGGGCAGCTTTTGTTTTACTTAATTTTATGTGCTTTGCATATTTTCAACGGGCTCTGCAACTCTGTGGAATAAAGGGCATTAAGCATTTTGCCTGCGTGCTGAGCTCATTTATTTGCTGCAGTTTTTTGCAGTTTATCGATTGAATACATTCTGGTTTTGCCTTCTGCAATTAAGTGAAATTTATGTTACTGCAGGTTCGTCGCTTAAGTCTTTTGTTTGCGGGTCGCGCGCCGTGGCACGTAAATTGCCGAAAAAAAACAGAAATGCGAAAATGTATTTCCTACTTAGCGTGGGCAGACAGTAAGCCGGCTTCAGTCCCCCTGCCAGTCCCCGCCTGTCCCCTGGTCCTCCTTCTGGGAGGCCGAACTTTGCTATCCTGCTCCCCAGCTCCTCATTTTAATCCGCCGCGTTGGTGGCGTGCATACATAATGCATAATTACCGGTTTCACTTTTCTCTCCCGCTCGGGCAGCCGCCCCGGCCTCCCTCCTCTTTGCCCCTCTTCAAAAGTGATTATCTTGGCATGCCTTGGCGTTTTTATTTCACCGTACAGATATTTTATTTTACAGGCATTGCGGTTTTATTGCCTCGCTCGTATGGTTTCTTAATTTTTAATTTTTATGATGTGTTAATGGATATTTTTGTGACATGACCTCCTGGCGAGCCGTTGTTGTTCATCAAGCTCTGCCAGTCAGCCATCCAGTCGGTCCGTCCGCAAGTATTAAATTCAAAGCTCCGAAGGGGGAAAACAGGAGCACCGATCCGGAGGGGAGCAACGAACCCCGGCATTATGCAATCTCTGACTGTAATTGAAGCTATTTAAAGCTCGTTACATGGCAAGGACACTGCCCTGGGATCCCGGCTCCAGACGACAGACAAGGGCGAACATCCCGAGGGGCTGTCAATCACACAAAACGCAGCATCGTAGTGTGGCCGCCAAACGCTAGGTGGCGCCATTTGCCATTTGGCCAATCATTGCAGTTAAGTGAGCAACCATGTCTGGCAAGTTGCAACCAAATGTGACCCAATTCCAGTATCGTACGGGGATCGACTTGTCGCTCAAATTACACGCACAGTCCCCTCGGCTCTGAGAGCTGATTACAGGGCCCAGGGCATGCAATTTGCATCAATAAAACTGCAAACTCAAAGAACTGGTATCTGGGATATGGTATCTGGTATCTGAAGCCAGGTATCTGGCATCCTCTGCTCTGGCTGCGGCTACTTTTGCTGCTGCTGTAGGTCAGTTTGCAAGAGCTGGCGTTGATTTGTTGCCTGCTTCTGCATTGCCCGCATTCTGGCTGCCTTCAATCAAGTGACGATGGGCGCAAACGAGCCGGCACATGGCAGGAGATGGATTCCAGGGCTGCCCCATCCCGACCCAGCCCACTTTGGATGACGCCCCTCGGGCACTTTCATCTGCGCCGCGTCTTATCCGGCAGTTCACCTTATCGGGTATCGAATTTGACGGGTGTCGAAGCCACTTGCCCAGGCCAATAATTACTTTCTCTGCGAGTGGGCAACGTCTGTTATTGATTTCGCCTGATTGCCGCCATAATTTTATTACGCATCATTAAGATAAAGTTGCATTCAGCGGATCAGCCATTTGCAAATTGTTTACGGCATGTGGAAGTGTCTGAAAAGTCTCAAATCTCCACCCATCATCACAGCCCATCTCATTCCCAGCTCATTTCCAAATCCGAAGTCATTTTCGCAGGCATCAGTGGTAAAGACTTTCGAAAATCCAAAGCCCAATAAATTATTACGTGAAAATGTGAAAGGGTTCTTGGCCCTGATGTAAATTCATCACAAAGTGATTTTAAAATGGGGCGGAAATAAAATAATATGGAATGGATTAAGAACTAACGATTAAAATAAATGCTCGTATAAACATAGTTAATGATTATTCGGCGCAAACCCCGATGTAAAGGTTTTTGAACTTTTTGAATAACCATTCGGTATCAAAAGTAAACAATCAAGCATGAAGGTTATAATTTTGAAAAATTAAGACGAGTGGCTTTACTTGAATTTAAGAAAATGTTGGCTTTACTTGAACTTATTTTTAAACTCCTTCAGAGTGTAAAATATAGAAAATATTAAAGATTTGCGGGTCCTTACAATAAATGTATAAACATCATTGTTTAATTTCTTTTGTGTCAGTTGAAGTTTGCTAAATTAACTTCACTTCACATCAAAAAACCACCAAAATGATATAAATTCAGAAAATCTCATAAAAACAGCAACGAACAAGGTGGGGAAACTGCATCTTCTCCACAGACTTCAAGTGTTATTTTTTGACAGGTCGGACGTCAACTTTAAAGTGAGATCTGTCATAAAAGAGCCTGTGCCGCTTTTGATTTTGATATTTTTGGCGGCTCTTCGGGAACAAAAAGAAGCATGAAAAAATACAAATAACTCGTATATGGGGGAAAAAGCTGCGAGCCTTGCAACTGCCCAAAAATGTATGCAGATTTTTAATTAAAGCGCGTTATCAACAAAGCCGGGCCACAAAGAAATAACCGAAATAAAAAACATCGCAAACCGGTTGACCCGATAGCCAATTTGGTCGGGACTTCAGTCTCGACGGGTCTTGATCGTTTTGATCGTCTTGGAGTGGCACTTCCTTAATTGGAGCAAGCATAACAACAAGTGCAAGCGCTAATTTATAATGTTATTTAATAAATATAATTAATTAGGCAAAGAAAGAGGAGATAAAAGTAAGGGACAATGAGCCTGCTTATTTGGCGGCCACATAAAAATTACTTAATAATTTCCATCAGAAATAATTAATTTCAATATTATTCAAGAGCGGCTAAGCGTCCCGAGGGCAGCATCTCATCATCCAGTTGAGCATGTCAGCGGCAACGGCGTGTTAAGCATTATTTTGGCCCGGCCCTTAACTTAACTCTTTACCCTCCCCTCTTCTGCCCGTTGCGACATAAAAATGCTTATTACGCTTACAACAGAACATGCTTCAAGCCCGAAGGCAAATTACAATTATATACACATTCTCATATATTTTTCACTGGCACTTCCATACACACAGGCTCATATATTCAGGTAACTTAAATCAATTGCGGCATATAGCGGCAGGGCACCGACTTGGGTTCGGACTGAAGAAGATCTCCGGCTCGTTCGTTACGCTTGAGTAATTTCGCTTTTTTGGCGGCTTTTGTCCTTAGTGGCAAATGACTCGAAGCTCCAAGCTGGCTCCTGACGACCAGCGTTTTATGGCATTTTATGCTACTTATACAGCGCTGCCGTTGCCGTTGCCATTGTCGGGTCCGTAGCCGTCTTGGCCCGAATCCCCCGATTCAGACGGCCCAGGCCAGGAATGACCGTAATTAATCAATTTGGCCAAAATGGCAGCGCACAGGCGGAGAGGCCATACAGATTGGTCAACGGCAACGTCCGTGTAATAACAATGAAAACAGCGTGTGTTGCTGACCGACTCTCGTACTTGTACTCATGCATATCCGCACACCATAAATTATGTTCGCACAGGGTTAAGCGCATTATTTAAGCATTCATCACGCGCTCTCCCCGATCCCATTGCTCAGTTTCAGTTTCGATCCCCGAGTCCAGGCCCAGGCTCAGGCCAAGTCCCTAGTCGAACTTGAGCCTGATGGAGTCCCCTCCGCTGTTGGCCACCGTTGCCGTGTAATAATTTTTAAAATTTATGTAAACAGTGTTGATTATGGATGAGTTATGTAGCATGTTCTACCTTTTGTTTTGTTCGCACTGCCGGGCCGCAGTTAATTTTAAGCTTGTTTTGCAACTTCGTTTATCAGCTCTCTGCCCCCAGATCTGCACCTGAGTCATCCCTCCCGATTGATGTCTTTATTAGGCCTGAGTCCCTGTCCCCACTTGGATGAAATGTTTCAGAAAAGTTTTTACTGTTATATCTTGATTCTTTTTTTTATAAAATAAGATTATTTTTGGAGTAACACAATAAGTAATTTTTAAAAGGCGTTGTCCTGGGAGTCTGTCCCAGTTTTGTGAGCTCACGAGGCAGACGCCTCTAATCATGTCAACTTCGAGAAGCATTCGACATAGTTACCTCTGACAAACGGACCACGTTCATGCACTGTTCGCGTGTTTGTGCAGCACATTAAAAATTACACGAAAAATTGTTTGGCACAAACGGGCAAACGTTTTTTGGCTTTTGGGAGGTGGTGCGGGAATTATGACCTGCGGGGCAAGTGGCTGCAGCCATTTGGGTGGCGCCTTTTGTCTTCGAAACGTGCCACAGTCGGAGGCACAGCCGGAGTCACAAATAATGCCACATGCGGTGTTCGTTGCCTGCAACGTTTCATGCGCGAATAATATTTTAATTCTGTCGATCAGCCGGCACGTTTCGTTGAAGCCAATCACAAGATCAGAGTGGCCATCGACATGTCTCTCCCTCCAAATAAAAAACAACAAAAAATCGTTATAAAATGAAATCCATCTAAAACGCATGTCACTCGCCGAGGAGCCAGGAGTCACTGTTGTGGGTGCTTGACTCCAGCTAATGGAGCTCTTAACCATGTGGAGCTGATAAAAGCGACAAAACATTTAACAAGTAATTAACCATAAAGCGCGCCCCACATGCCTTCTGGCTGGTTCTGGTGGCACTGCAAATGTAGCAGCAAACTGCTGCCTGGGGGCCGCAACTGGGTTAAGGACGCTGCACAGCACTCAGCACCACTGCACCATTACACTACTGCAGCAAGGCACCAATGCAGCACTGCACTACTGAAACCGCACTGCGCCCACCCCCGTGGGACAGCCCTCGCCTTTGGCAGCCGAACATTCATTTCGATTTCGTTTGCGTTCCTATTTATTTTTTGTGTTATTTTTCTTTAATTTTTTTCGGGTGAGTTGTAATAGAGTTGCTGAAATTTGGCATTGTATTTATGACTCGGGCATGGAGCATAGCATGCATCTGACCCACACCCACATTTCGTTAGATATCCACCCTGGCCAGGGCGCGGTGATGAATGCGATAATAAATATTCGAGTTGTTTTTCTGTGAGTGTTATAATTTAGTGTTGATTAGTTTGCGCAAATAAGAGTTATTGATTCAATTTCAATTAAAAGGATATGAATGTTTCGCCTAAGCGCCGCCAAAGTATCCAACGTGGACCGAGTTGCTCGCCCACAAACAAAAGATTTCAGCAACGAACTTGTTTTGCAGAGTGTGTGCTTGGTATTTTTGTTTTTTGGCACCTCTTGCATTGATACCCCCAGATTATTAATGATGCCTAATGAGTGGGTTGGACCCAACTGAAACAGAAATGCAACTTGCAACCGCTACCAGCGAGCGCGGCAATTATGTGTCATTTGTATGAAATCCCAGGGACATGCAATTTGGGTGTAGACTCAAGACTAAAGCATTTATTAACTTATTTTCGTAGGGGCACTCATAGCGGCTAAGTTGGGCACTACAAGGGCAGCGAGAGCTGCCAGCGGAGGCGGTTCTGTTTTCCAGGGGACTGATAGCCGGAACTGCAGCTGGTGGAGTGCCCCGAATGAATCGAGGGGGAAGCTGGAAAATGGAAATAAAGTTATACAACTAAATTCGAATATGTCAAGGGGACAATGAAGGACACTCACATAGAACAAGGACGATTACAAACTAGAGCAACAGAGACAGGAACAGGTTCTAAGAGGCCTGGTCGGAATGATTGTGGGACAGCTGACGCATGGTGAAAGTGGTTTCTGCTGGACAAAACACAATGTACGATTGATTTCCAAGAACAATAACTACCATGACTAACCTGGTGTGCGGAAGCCCTCCTGGATCTTGTAGATCTCGTTCAGCTCGCGGGCACTGCACAGGGGGGTATCCACCTGGGTGGTTTCGTTGAATCTGGCATAGTCGATCTCGTAGGCCTGGAGGTCCTTGTTATACAGCACCACTGGATCGAAACGATGGCCCCACAGGATCTCAGTGTTGATATAGCTAGACCTGGCCTGGGTGCTCTGACCTGTGGATTCCACTGTGCCCTCAAGTATCACCACGATCTCAAACTTGTCCTGCAGCATATCGGTGGCATTTAGGTTGTAGAGTGGCGAGTTCTCATCAATCTTGTGCTCAATCACCATGGGCCAGATAAAGAACAAGTCGGAGCCGGAGTCATCGGTGCCTATCTCCAATTCCGTGAAGTATTGCGTCATCACCTCGCCCTCCTTGGTGCTCTTCGTCCGAATCAATTGAGCCCTAACTCCCGCCCCGATGATGTGTGACTTTCGCATGTCACCCACCCGGAACATCAAGGACAGGCATCCATCCCGCTGGCAAATGACCGCGTGCTTGGAGAACAGTAGGGTCTGAGCTCGCTGCTTAGCCCTCGTCATCTTGGCAAACACAATTCCGGCCATGAAGGCAGATGACATTACACCGTAAATGGACTGGAAGCACATCATGAAAATGGCTTCGGGGCACTCAGGGGACGTGGTGCGGACACCGTAGCCGATGGTGTGCTGAGTTTCAATAGAAAACAGGAAGCAGGAGGTGAAACCATCGATAGCCGACACACAAGGTGCCCAGCCAGTTTCCGCTAAAGAGAAAAATGGGAATTTTTAGAGGAAAACAAAATATTACTCTGCTTTAAGATGAGATTTACACTCACCTTGGTTATCGGGCAGATGCAGATCCTCCAGATCGCCGTGCGTATAGACAATCAACCACCAGATGAGCGCGAAGAAAAGCCACGAAAGTATGAAACTGAGAGCAAAGGCCAGGAGTGTCCATCGCCATTGCCAGTCCACCATGGTGGTGTACATGTCCTGCAGGAAGCGGACGCGGCGCCTCTGTAAGTGTTTTTGCACCACATTGCAGTCGCCATTTTTGAAAACAGCCCTTCGGCGGACTCTTCGCATACTACCAGGCCGGAAGTTGCGGGATCTGATTTAAGAAAAATAAATTATAATTTATTGCTGAATGTGCTGCCTAAAAGTTGGCTATAAAAAACATGTTGCATTACTCTTATCAAAATAAATATAATTTTTTTTTAAGTTTTTCATAAGCAATCAGTAAGGTATGTAAACTATTTTTAATGCTTCACACTTTTCCAATGTGAGACCCAAAACTTTCTTATCATTTCAATGTCATTTAATTTCTTTGATTTATGCAAGTGTCAGATGAAATTGGATGTCTCGACATCGCGTTGTTTAATTTGTATAAATTAAGTGAGCGAACTTGCACTAGTTTCTTTTGGGCAGGCCACACGAGAAATGCATTTAATTAAGTGGCAGTGGCAAATGCCAATGCCGCGAGCTAAAGAGCAGTCGCAGACCGGCTTGTGTCACTTGATTATGGCTTAATTACAGCTCTCCCACAAATTGCGTGATTTATTGGCTTCACTTGTGACAGCACTGGGATTTAATGAGGCTCGAGTACTCTACCGTTTATGGCACCCACATGACCTGTTTGCAACTAACCCAACCAGAAGCCTTAACCCCATATTGACACTTGCAGTGCCATGTCGATTAATTGGCATTGTGCCGATTGCATTAATGCCCGCTAATCGAATTAAACCAGCTTTCTATGATTCATACATTGTATCATCTAATTTTTGATTGTTTTCTTTTCTCTAGGGGACAGGCCCACGCAACAAATAAAAAAGCCTGTGAAGATGCCGACACATAAAAACGACGTAGGAAATGCCCGAAGCAATGATGGGAAATCTTCTGGCAGAGCGTTTAGCAAGTGACAAATGTGAGAACGAGCTCTTACCGAGATTTCAACGGAGTCTAAATAGCCTGGCCTAATGAATCGCATTCGTAACGCGCCCCTAAATCAAGTGCAAACTGCAATCTTCAGCCAACGGCAAACAAAAAATAAACTGCAGTCGTGGGCGTGGGCGTGGACGCAACCAGATAAATTACAACCGCAAACGGCGGGCGGCACTCCGCTAATCAGCTAGACAAAAAGCAAAGTAGATGCCCAGAAGATGCGACAACGTGACAGTGGATCCACTGCCGATGATTGAGCGTCTGTGTCGGCAAGTTCAAGTTGAATGTCAGGCCCCTTGACGGGCTAATTACTGTGCGGAAAGCCATTGAGCGGCAACGGCAGCGGAACTTTGAATAATTGGGTAATTGGAGAAGCGGATCACAATTTTGGAAAGATATTTTCAAACTCTTCAGCAACATTATAGGGAGTTCTTTTAAGTTCCGCTTTGATAAAAAAAGTAATAAAATCCACTATTCCTTAAAGCTTAAATGTTGGAAATAGACGACCTCCTTTTAACCTTAAACACCCTTATTCTTATCTATCACTTTTGAATTAGAAACTTAAAAATCGCACCCTTTAGCTAAGGAGTGACTGGATCCTTTGAGAGCTTCGTAATAAACTCCTGCCTGTGATGGAGTGTGCGAAATCCCACGCATGTATTGTCGCTTCCACTCCTTCATGTGGGCAAAGGTCTCCTCTTTGTCGCCGCCGGCTACAGTCTCGGCATCGGCAGGATCCTGCAGGACCTGGACATCACTGAGTGGAACTTGCATCGCGATAGACGTTGAAGCTTCGCGATTTCAAACCGAACTAATGCTCCTCGCCACACTTTTCAACCAGGCCAACGTCAGGGAGCCCCGAATTTGCCCAGTCAATTAGAGCGGGTCTAACTAATCGTTTATGGAACTTATTGATCAAGTTACTTAGGCTATGCAAACACAAAAAACATATCACCCTTTCCACTCACCTGCAGCTCGGTTGGCGCTGGAACGCCTTTCCGTTTGGAGTGATGCCATAGAAGCTGGTCGGACGATTAGGGACTATGGTTATGGGATAAGAGTGGGGATTGCTGATGACACTGTCCAGAGAATCGGGATCCGCTTCTATTGTTTTTTTCAAGGGCTGGGAGGCCGCCCTCTCATTCCCATTCGCCTTTGCAGTCGACGATGTCGCGGTTGTGGGGGTCGCCGAGTGGGTAGAGAAATTGAATCGCATCTGCGGGATGTCGGTGAAGGAGCCATTTAAGTTGCTTTTTCAATTAAATTAATTTATAGGCGTCATGGCAAAGTATCTCAAGCCTCGAGTGGGCAAACAGAAACTTGTGATAAGTGCAACCCAGGTGCGAGAAATCTACTCTGTTGTCAGCTGATTCTCACAGATCGTTGTAAAGGTAAACGAAATAGATATGCGATTGAGGGAGCAGTGCAAAAATTGTATCAATTTGATTAAATTTAAAAGTCTCCGATATGCTACAGTGTTATCATTGCATAAGATCATTTACAGATTCAGATTCAGATCGCTTCCGTCTCATAAATTTTCACACCCTTTTTGCACTTTTCACAAGATTCAAGAGCACTGAGCACACCTTTTTGGAAAGTCAAAGCACGCACCGTGTATGTTTGAATTGAATTTCGCCTGATCGGCACGTTTCAGCTTAAGTAATTTTAGCACCTTGTTATGAGCCGAGAAATGTTCAATTAATTGACACCTTTAAGCCGATTATCTGCTAGATGGCCATTGGTGAATGTCCATTGATATCCAAATAGTTTCCAAGGAATCGGTTGATGCTTCGCTTTGTTTCAACGGCGCGTGTCGACTCGAGGCCGGGAGATCACAGGGCATACTGTGCCACACAAGCCGCAGATACAGCAGCCACTAAAGCCACGACTGACAGCGATCCGCCAGTCTGCCCAATGGATTAAATGACGGCCGACTGAAAGAACATTTTTCCAACTAAACAAAAGTGACGAACTGAAAGCGACGTGCTGTAAATGAGCTCACACACCAGCAGGAAGAGAGAATTGCACACTCACACAGGCACACCACTTTTTCTGATGCTCTCACACAGATACAGATCGGTGACAGATACAATCGTTGCGATACTGAAACCGAAAGATACAGCTTGAGGCTTTGCCTCGGAATAAGTTCAATTGGAATGATTCGTAAATTGAAAATGAAGCGGAAGATAAGCGTGATAAGCTCATCTTATCTGCGAAGCGGGGGAGGGAATTCAGGAACAGGCGACCTTGAGCTGCAAGGGGTGGCGTATGCGTAATATTTTGTAGGGCCACTCACAAAGTGTGGCAATATTGATCGCCCATGACGCTCTGATATATCACATCCAGAACAGTGTTTACTCAGCGCTTCTCTCTACTCAAATAGACAGTACAAACAAATGTATCTTCGCTCAATTTCGAGTACAAGGTGGCGTATACGTTATTTTATTGTGTTTGCCGAGACTCACGCGCTTTTCGGCTGCATTGTGTAAACACAAGTAACTGTGACGCCTGAATCGAGATTGATATATTCGCGAGCAGTCATCGGCGGAGTCATGCGTAGTTGATTTTGAAAGAACAACACCCAATTAAAAACATTTCCTTCAGCAATAAATTATTTTAAATATTTTGTATTTAACGGTCTAAACTTCTAACGATATAGTGTTGATGCAAGCCATATAAAGTATGGCAGTGTAGACAGTGAATTTTGAATGGCTCTCAGCGACATATTCAAAGCTTAGATATTGGTCAGTCAGCTCAATCATCGGCCAGCGTGAACCTTCTTTATCGTCTATTTAGCGAAAAACGACTATCCTTACTCGAGAGAGTACTTCGTGAAGTGGATGACTTTATTTGTTCGACGTACATGGTTGCAGATTGATGCAACCTTCCGGGAGCTGATACATCGCCACCCCCACGACTTTCCTCCCAGCGAATCAGAGTATTGAGGAGCTTCATAAAGACCGAGTTGACAGTGTACTTCATCGACACAAATGTTTCATAACGACAGCAGCATATCACAATGTCACCTTCCATGAAGTCCTCTATAGATTCTAAGCGAGATCCATCAATCCGGCAAAAATTCGCGATGACCGACGGCATCCTTACATGTTGTCGCAGCGTCTCTGTTATGCCCTGCTTAAGAATCTTCATATCCTTGTAGAAGACGCGAGAGATGGACACAGTTACCCCCTTAAAAAACTTGTCCCTGTTGCGAAGGCAGCACACACGCTTCGCCTTCCCCGGAGGTGAAGAAAACTTGGACTTGAACGCCTGGTAGCGGATAGACCTGTTAGCCTCGCCCATGATGGTTCGTATGAAAGTATAGATTTCGAAAAATCTGTTAGTTGAGCGAACAAAGTTGAACAGTAAAAGTTAAAAAAATATATATTTTGTATATCCTGCTCAATTTTCTAAGATGTTAGGTCTTTGGCTATTCGTGTTATTGTGATCTGACCTATTGGTAGCCAACTATAACTTAAAGAAAGGCAATACCCCGGACTACTATGTTTCCAATCGGCAGCCACAGACCTACATATTTTTCTAGACTTCTATGTTTCCATGCGGCAGTTGCAGGGATTTTCCAATTTCAATGCTCTTCCGACATGCCACTGCCACCTCAATGGCATAATCTACAATCCACGTTATTGCCAGTGACGCGGATGAGGACCAGCTGGGATAATTGAATAATCAGCTTTGTGGCATAGTGAGAGTCCGACCCCTGCCATATGCGAACCGTGTTTTTCCGAATCCCCCACCAGCGGGGGTGACTTAACTCGCGCCAAGTGCAAATTTGTAGTCAATCATTATGCCACTTTATACTCATACATTCTGGGGGTGATAATTCGTATTTAAATCCACTATAGGGTCCAGTGGGGCGGTTATTTCTGTAAACGTCAACATATCGATTTGGTTGACTTTCACAATTAGCTCGCCCCTGAGAGATTCGTATATTTATTGCTAAAATAATGTGGATGGTTGAGTTTAATAGGATGATACTGGAGTAGGCTCTTTATTGTTATATATTTTAAACTTTCGTCTGTGTTTACGAACATTTTTAAAAATATTCAATAAATTTAAATATAATACATTTATTATATACATGGTTCATTTTTATCCTTTCAATAGGATAGCTTTGATGCCATTAAGATCGAATAAAGGTTTTTTTTACTTTTATACATAAATTCTACATCAGCCACCATTTTTGGCGCCATTTTCAAGCGGCGAATTTTACATGAACCGTCACCATTTTCTTTTTACTTTTCTTTACAGTAATTTCTTTGAACAGACATTTTACCCAAAAGTAGGCCACGTTATTAAAACTCCAACATGTTGCAACAGTTTAATAACAAATAGAAGTCCGTGGAAAAAATTGATCCCATGAAATAAAACACAAATCAGTTATTTTAAAATAAAATATATTAATTTACAAAAATATTGTGCGCTAGATTTAACCAGCAAACAACTAAATCGGTTGGGACCGGGCTACCAAGATCGAGCCCAGCCTTTATGTTGGCATTAGACATACGATAGACTCTGACTATTTACACCTGATTATTGCAGATATACGTGTAGTAAGGAAAGATACCTTGACTTTGGGTAATGCGTATAAGAGTACGTGTGGAAGTGGGTGTGAATAAATGCTGGAACACTTACGAACTAGATGCTAAATAATATAGCTAATAATATAGCTAAAAATAGCTACAAACTAAGAAAATTGTACAATGAAATTTGCATTTAAATATTCTGGGTTTCGCGCTATCTTTCACAAAATGGCAATACGAAATATGTGTGTGTTTGTGAGGGTGAGGTTTGTGGTATTGTGTGAGTGTGCGTGTGTATCCTTGTGTTTACATAGCAGCACCATTGTAATGCTGATACATCTCGTCCCAGAATCTTTGACGTTCCGGTTCGGGATTGGTCTTCATGGCCAGGTTGGCCGAAATATCCAAATAGTTAAGACTATTCATCACATTGGAGGGGTCGATGGGAGCCCACTTGGTGGTCAGATTTGGATCTTCCGTATCCGGTGTTGGAGTACTGAAATATAATTAAAATATAAATGACTCTTTGTATATAAACATTTTCTTTTTAAACACGTACCCATACTTGGCGAAGTTCGTCCACATTCGCACCATGCGGTTCTTCACCTGAACCTCCATCGATTTGGGATCCAGACTTAGATTGAAGAAGCCGAACTTAAACAGATAGCCCAGCTCATCTCCGTGGCAAACTCCAGGTCGGGGAATGCCCAGCATTCTCTTGTACAGACCCAGAGCTCCATCGAAGGAGAAGCGGTACATGTACACCGGCGCATTGCCGTACTTAGCATGATTCCGGGCCGTGCGACGAATTCCCTGTAGGAACATTAAATCCGTCAAGAGCTGAACGGAAAAAAATAAATATTTAGTAACTAAAGTTCATAAAAGATTGCCGCAAACTCACCGCTATCATCTCGTCTACAGATTCAATTCCCACATGCTTGTTTCCCAAGTAAAATGTCCTTATTTCCCGGGTTACTCTGTCATGAACATGAGTGACATTCAAATCATGAGGCACCAACCGACCGAAGTCATTTTCAATAATCTGCAGCAGTTGGGGATTCTTACGGAGTCCTTTTAGAAAAAAAATTATTAAAATAGAGATGGATTTTTCTTCCTTCTATGAACTCACTTCTTATAAAAAGCATGGCCTCGTGTGTATTATATCCCGTCATGTAGGCCACATCGCTGTTGAAATTCTGGGAGTGGTACATGTCGCTGGGGTGCTGGGTAAGGAAAGGCTGCTCGTAGAACTGCTCTTCTTGAGAGTCCTGATTCCAATATCCCTCCACGACTGGAACAAAAGGCAGACCGATATTGTTGCGCTGATCCTCCGCCGTTATTGTAGTAGGCGCTGCCTCCACCAGTTTCATGGCCGGAACCCTGCGCAGAAAGTCCAAGATCTCTTCCGTGTTGTTGGCACCCACATAACCTAAATTGGCGGCGAGGCGGGCAGCACGTTGGCTAGAGCTGGCGGCCATCGACCAGGGATTCAAGGCAGAGCCGCTCTGCGAAATAGCTCGATGGAATAGCCCCTTAGCTAAGGGTGAAAGAAGCAATAGCTGCACTGAGGAAGCTCCTGCGGACTCTCCAAAGATCGTCACTTGCTTTGGATCACCTCCAAAAGCAGCAATGTTGTCCCTAACCCACTTGAGAGCCAGAATCTGATCCTTGAGACCCTGGTTGCCTGGTGCATCAGGTCCGGCTGTCAGAAAACCCAAAGGACCCAATCGATAGTTGAGAGTGACCAGAACGATGTCCTCAGCCACAAGATAATCCGGCCCATAAAGGAAAGAGTTGCCCGAGCCAAACGAGAATCCTCCACCGTGCAGCCAAACCATCACGGGAAGTTTTGTCTGTTCACTTGACTCCTCTTCCTTGGGCATTCGCGTGGTAAAAACATTGACAAAGAGGCAGTCCTCGTCTCCTTTGAAGGTATCAAGGATCATGTTCTTGTGCGGGCAACTCTGTCCCTCCCTTGAAGCATCTCGAATGCCCGACCAGGGTTTCTCCGGCTCCGCAGCCCGGAATCTGGATTGTGCATTAAAATTAGTTTGCATGAATTTCATTAAATTTTGTTCAATATTACCTTCTAGCACCGGTGGGTGGTGCTCCATATCGCATCCCCCTAAAACTGTAGTAGCCTCCCCGCTCTCCAGATCGGTATTTTTGGTAGCGACCTCTCACCTTGCCCAGTGTTGTTGTAGCAACGATCTCTCGTTCTTTCTGAAAGTGGATATCAAATAATAATTTATTTCTACAACTAAATACAGAAAAATAAATTTGAGAAGATTCTGATAAAAATCGAGAGGATCGCCTTCGCTAGGTAACGCTTTGGCAATGAAGATTGCCGAATATATCGACATCCACGGGGGTCATAATGCCCTTTCTAGTATTTCTCGTAATTTTAAAAAAATATAGACATCCATGGGGGTCATAATGCCCTTTCTAGCATTTCTCGTAATTTTGAAGGGGATCCCACATAAAATTTGACAAAAAATCTAAAAAATATTTTATTCCCAGATTTTGATGCAGATTAATGGAGAATCGACGTACGATTCGTTTAAGATATTCCGATCAAGAATCTGATGAAGATTGCCGAAGATATGGACATCCATGGGGGTCAAAATGCCCTTTCTAGCATTTCTCGTAATTTTGAAGGGGATCCCACATAAAATTTGACAAAAAATCTAAAAAATATTTTATTCCCAGATTTTGATGCAGATTAATGGAGAATCGACGTACGATTCGTTTAAGATATTCCGATCAAGAATCTGATGAAGATTGCCGAAGATATGGACATCCATGGGGGTCAAAATGCCCTTTCTAGCATTTCTCGTAATTTTGAAGGGGATCCCACATAAAATTTGACAAAAAATCTAAAAAATATTTTATTCCCAGATTTTGATGCAGATTAATGGAGAATCGACGTACAATTCGTTTAAGGTATTCCGATCAAGAATCTGATGAAGATTGCCGAAGATATGGACATCCATGGGGGTCAAAATGCCCTTTCTAGCATTTCTCGTAATTTTGAAGGGGATCCCACATAAAATTTGACAAAAAATCTAAAAAATATTTTATTCCCAGATTTTGATGCATATTAATGGAGAATCGACGTACGATTCGTTTAAGATATTCCGATCAAGAATCTGATGAAGATTGCCGAAGATATGGACATCCATGGGGGTCAAAATGCCGTTTCTAGCATTTCTCGTAATTTTGAGGGGGATCCCCATAAAATTTGACAAAAAATCTAAAAAATATTTTATTCCGAGATTTTGATGCAGATTAATGGAGAATCGACGTACGATTCGTTTAAGGTAATCTGATCAAAAATCGGATGAAGATTGACGAAGATATGAGTTATTTCCTATATCTAGCTATTATAGTTATTGTAGTTAACTATTATAGTTACTATAGTAAACTATCGGATAGTTATTTTTATAAATGTTCACTTTTTTTAATATGCGGGGTCAGAGACATTTCTTTGTTCATTTAGAAATATTTAACGTGATTTATTATGTATTTATTATGTTATTATTATGTACATTTATATATATTTTTCTTCAGTGGCTGCTAAAAACTTATTATATAGATTTTTTTTGTAAATTTCGTTGTTTCTATAAAAACAAAAAAAAAATATAAATTTCTAGTTTAACCGGTTCTTGCCCCAAATACCTTAATTTTAAATGTTTTTACATTGTGCTGTTCTGTATAAATTTCTCATTAAAAATTGATCTGTTGTCTATAATATACAATGTGTATAAAAATTTAAGCAAAACTTTAAATATTGTAATTTTTCCTCTGAAAGTTTAATTTTATTCTGTAGTAGTATAATTTTCTCGAGTTTAAAGTCACCCAAATCGTACGAAATCTACCAAATGTTAATTTAATGCCCCATCAGTTCTTGACAAACAATTCGACCCACTCTAATGCCCACTAATTTGGCTGCCACTTGTGAATGCTGGTAAGAATATTGGTTGCGCAACAAATTTGCATTAGAGTGCGAACGCGGTTAGAACCAACAAACATTTGTCCGTGCCATGGAGCAGGCGTTGCGAAACTGCCGCAGCCTGGTCAATAACCAATGGCCAAAAAGCGAGTTTTTGCCTCTGTTCTTGACTGAATTTCTATGGCAAGAGGGTGGGAAAAATTAAAAGTCTTTCAATGCTATTTGCTATCGAGCCGAGAGTCGACGTGACCTCAGCCTCTAGTGCAGGTGCCTGCATTGGTCTGCATCCATATTTGGCCAGCTAGCCAGCAGTCCACGTTCAAGTTGAGATTCAATTGGGAATTGCAGTGGGTCAGTCAAGAGCTTGACATTTTCAGCGGCTGGGGTTCAAGGTGGGTAGATAAAACAATTGGCATCTTACCCGCAGAGATCGCACCACCTCCTGTACCACTCGCATGGCCCGCGACGGCAGCAGCTGGACGAGTGAGTTTGGATGGGAGGTCAGGGTCTTCCAGGCCGTTGTCTCCTGCAATTACACAGAGGTTGAACAAACTTAACATTAGTTAACAAGAAAAACAGAAATGAACAGTGGGTCAAGCAATGTTTACTTACAAAATTAATTATTCTATGTTTAGGTTATAGCTAAGAAGATTACCATTTAGCAGGGGAAGTATTTTCATGTTTATTTTTTATTACAATACGAGGCCTTCATCCCAGAGTACTGCGCCTTGTGCAAAATCATATTTTCAGCCCAAAACCAAGTTCGCTGGGCCCGATCCGATGACAATTTTTTGGGGCTGTCGGATTTGTAAAGCGGTGTTAACTGTTAACGGGCAACCTTCACCGACTGCGCCGCTTAATTGACACGCCATTTGCATAACCCGCATCAATCTGGGGTCTGTATGGGGGCAATTAGGCAGCAGCAATAGTAATATCTCCATTTCAATTATAAAAGTCACGTGCTGCCAACTGTAGGAAACGCCAATCTTAAAGTGTTGGCTGTCGCATTAGGCGATCCCCTATCTTTCAATTGGACCTGCCTCAATTTATACATACTTGTATGACAAAAGAAATACCTTTACGATTTTTATTAAAAATAAATAAAGTCGGTATCGTTACTGACATACTTTTAAAGGCCAGTTTTTTAAAAATGGTAAAATAATTATAACAGTCTAAGACATTCTGGTGTTGAAAATTAATAAGAGAGGATATGGAAACTTGTCTTACTAATGCATTTTTTAAGTTCAGTTCAGTTCAACCAAGCGATGAAAATTCAAAACCACCTTCATCAATTAAGTGCCAAAGACCTTCTTAAAAGTGAAAATGTTTTCCTAGATTTTCAATTAATGCGACTAGGGACTCCTCGCTATAAAGTATTTACCTCAAGTTTTAGCAGTGAATCATGACACACTTTGATGACGGTTGTGGTGGCTGTGGAGCACCGGATTTCAAGTTCACCTTTTGACGAGTGGTTATGCTAATTACGTTTGCTGCATACTCTAGGTGTGTAAATATCGAAAGAGCTAAATAAGGCCCGCCATGGAATCGAGATCAATTGCTTGAAAGGTATTCAGGCTTCGGATCAAAACCATCCATCTTTGTTTGCTTTGCATTTGAAACTCAAAGTGTGTGCGTGTGGTCTGCATCTGTATCTCGCAGTTATGCTAATGTGGGTGTAGCTGGTTTATAACAGTTTTTTATTATTTTTATACGGCTGTATCCGATCGTTTTTGGCTTTAATTATAACTGTTTAATGCGCGCTATGTTTGCTCTGCTTGTTCGACAGCAAAACAAACCGTAAAGGCGATTAAGAAGTGGGTCATTGTTCAACACATAATAATAATAAAGATTAAGTGTGCTGGGAAAATAATTAAAACACGCAGCACAGACACGGCCAGCGGGCTAAGTAATCTGCCAATCAATCTTGGACTTCACTTTAGCCGACTTATCGCAGCAAATGCCAGTCCAGTGTGTGGCTTCGATCTAATATGCAAATGAGTGAGAGCAGCAGACAGAGCCGCATGCCTCCGAATTGCATTGCGGATCTCACATAATATTTTTGCCACTTACAATTCAGGATTATGCAATAAGCGCTTTCACGCTACGCTCGAAATCCAAAAATAATAAATGCGAATAAAATGCAGGCCGATCACCGGGCAGATCACCAGCTCCGCCGCCGCCGCCACTGCAACTCCCCCGATGAAATGGAAAGCTAGCCATGCATTGTCTGGAATATTGCATAAGAACCGAACCGAATACGAACCGTGGTAGAACTGGCCGCTCGGAGGATTTGGCGCATGTCCACTGACCCGGAAGACTTGTTGGTGTCCGCCGGTGGTGCTGGGGAGGTGCTTGTCGACGGGGATGTTGTTGTCGTGGTGGCGATTAAAAAAAACGCTTTGGCTGGCAAATCTTGCAAATCACCGCTCGGAGTTGTGGACTTTCTCTCCATCGTTGTGATCCGATGGCCGGATTCATTCGGTCGCTGCACACAAATTGCCAAGACAATTAGACCGATGGCCAGCACGAGGCCTGCGGCCATCGCTCCGCGGGCCCAATTCCGGAGGCAGGGCATCGCTGACAGAGGGACTGATGGAGGGTCACTGCACCTCCGCTAGGCAGAGCTGCCTTTGTTTTATGCAACAGCTTGACAACCGCACTACTTTGCCTTAGTTGCACTCGCAACTGCAATAGTTGCAGCCCGGGCCGTAAACTTTGATTTATTGAACTCGCACTCGCATGGAGTGACACTGGAATAGGGTAACTGCAAAAAGTCTATGCACCAGGGATCTAAGCCGCACTTCTCCGACCGCAAGTGCTGTACTTTCGGCTGACGAGAGCCTTGTGAGCTGGGGTCTCTAGTAGCGCTGTGAATTAAATTCCACTTGTTCCTCGATTTTTCCTCATTTTTCGCTTTTGGCTCGGCAGTCATTAAAGCACCCTGGAATCAATACAGTCGAGGTGTGTACTCGATCTATTGTAACGATATCAGGGCCTAATAGATGAGGGTATTCTGTGGTCGAGTCTACTTTCCCACCCCATTGCTGCTATCTTGTTAGAGTTGCACTTGTTATTGTCTGTCCGACGTCGTTTCGGCGTTTTAAATACATTTTTGGTTTTGTTTTGACTATTTTTTTTAGAGTTTGTAATCATTGTTTTTTATGGCCGGATTATGTAAGGCACGCAATGGCTCAGTGCAGACATGTGGCCATTGTACACCGTGTATTCTGTAGTTGGCGGGCTTAGCTGGCCTTTTATCAGTCAATGTTATCCGACCGGCAACGGAAATGCTTTACATTTTAATTGTAATTTTTGTGGGGTTTTGGCCTCATCACGATCATAATTTGTTGATTGAGGGCGATGTAAATATTTAATTTATAGCATTATTAGTGTGGGAATGAAGATATCATGTATCGCGTGATAAGTTCTGAAATATAAAGGGCCTAAGTATGCAATTTCCAAGCGCATTGCTTCTGAGCCATGCACATCACTAATTTATTCAAAGTGTCACAAACTGCATTGGAATATGAATTACTGCTAGGGGATTCTGATCGAGCATAGCTGATTGGAAGGTTATACAGAATTTCCTGCCCAACCTCCCAGGTAACATATTGCGAGCCACTGCCCATCTAATTAGCAGATGCCAAGTCAGTCGTTTTTGTTGTGGGTTTGCCATAAAACAATAGAACTCTGCCTCTGGCAGACGCCAGCTATTGCAGGCATTATTTTGTGAGCCATAAAGTCCATTAACAGGCATATGTAAATGCAGTGGCCAAAAGTGCGCACGGCGAACGAGTTGGCCAAAACAGAAGACAATAGCACCGCGTTCATTGCGGCGACTACTTGCAGAAGCCAGCAAGGTGTTGAATTACTTTCGGGGCGGGGTAACAAATTTGCGACACGATGTCAAAGTCACACCAGCTTGCCGACCACCAGCTCTTTGGGTCTTGGCTTTGATTTAAATGCTACCAAAGTGACCGAGTCAGCCGAAAAGCTGGAATCTGGCACGCTCCACTCGCCACCACACTGTTTCTTTTGTCTAGACACAATTTATTCAACCATATAGACATTTTTTAAATTGATTCGCAGACTAGACTGGTTCTGGGTTCTGGACACTTACCTTAAGCGTGTTGGATATCTTCCCGGCACGTGCTATGGCCGTTCCAAAAGTCGAGGGCGCGATGGCGATTGAAAAGCCTCCATCGCATAGAAGGAATACCAGTACTCCGAGTAGCAGGAGAACCGAGGACAGTCTGGTTGTTGTCATCATGTGCGTTTGTACTTCGACTGGGTAGACAAATAGAAATAATGCATTAGTCGATGGCCCGTGGTATGACCTAATGTGTTTGCCGAACGTCAACGTCCAACACTGATAGTCCAAAACGGAATAAATAGCCGCGAACACCAAACGCCAAACACCGAACACCAAATGCCGAATATCGAATCGGAGTGCTGAACGTATGCTTCTGAGCCAACTTCTTGGTCATGGCCAAGACAAAGACGCGAATGTCAACAGCTTAAGAGCCAGCTGGGGAACTGGCTAAAGCCAAACTCAACTTTGAGTTGAGCTGGTCGGCGTGCTCAGTGCTCGGCGCTCAAAGTTTTTCCAGCCGTCAGCTGGTGGTCTCGATTTAAATTACTTGCGATTATTTTCAAATTTGTTCACCGCGCTTGTCTTGAACTAATACAGACATTATTCAATTTTGTTTTGGCGCTGTTGTTTTTACTGCCGTCTTTTTTTTTCCTTGCGTGAGGTCACAAAATATTTTGCATGCTCACAGGGCGTATGATTAATTAGGAATTCATTTTGATGCCGCTGATGGCATTAACTTTATTTCACATTATGGGCATGTATAAATATGAATTTGTTTTATTTATTTTTGTTTTCCACATAAAAAGCCTGTCCCAATGACAACGGACTAATTGAATGGCAAGACCGGAAACCGGAGCGGGAAGGTCTCCAAGAAGCTAATGACCTTTTTTGGGGGCCCATAAATCTGTTAATCAACCTATATGGAAAACTTCGACGAATGTGTAAGGGTGCTAATTTCGGCTAAAAGACTGTTCCGCTTCCTTAACTGACTTGGCTAACAACACCAAAGAAACGTTTAGCTAAGCCATAAACAAAACAGGCAATGGCCAACCTGAACGCCCCCCAGTTAACCAGTAACCCAGTGCGACTTCCTTATTTATTTTGACCATATTTCTCTCCCGTGTTTGCTGTTTTCTCTTCGGGCTCTCTTGGCCATTTTTAGCCATTTATAACCATTTGTGGTTATGACAATGCCATGGCAACACTTGCACTTTCCTTGAAAGTTGTTCGACCAGCTGCAGATGCAGAGAGAAGAGAGAGTAAGTGAGTGGGCCAGCGCTTCGAGCCAATTCCCGATCAGCTGGGAGCTTTCTCGCCATCTCTCTTGGCCATAAATTATGCTATTGTGATTACTAAAATCATATATTTTATGCAAATTGGTCATGGACCTTGCGCAAAGTCTCTTACAGATTTCTTACAAATCCATTGGGGGCCACCGCAGTCCCGTTAACAGAATGTGGCTATTTTGTAATAGCCTGGTCAATTGAGAGGCTCAGAGAGCCAGAGAGAGCAACAAATTAGCAGCCATCCAACTCAAAATTAACAACCGCAGAAAGCGCAAGTCGCACATAAACGGGTCGGGAAAACTCCATCCCAGCTGCTTTTGGGACTCTCTGACTTGGGAGGGGGATTGGGGGCGTCAGCTGAGAGCTGGAAATGCAACTGGGATTGGGGATTCAGGCCGAGATCGCAACTGGAGGCTCTGACTTGGTCCGAAGCCGGCCAGACGGGCTTGCGACGCCTTACGTAAGCGGCGAGCAAAACAAAAAAGGTAAATATTGAGAAAAGAGTACAGAAAAAAAAACGAAAAAAATAAATTAAGCCAAATAGCTGGTCGAGCAAATATATTGGAGAGAGGTGTGAGAAGCGAGAGTCTGGCCCAATGATAACGCACCGAAGATGATGGCCAAATGAGTTGGGATGGATGCGTCCAAATTGCCATTTAACGGCGAATTTCGCCTGACCCATTACATAAGTAGCCGGCTCTGGCCAAAACGGAACTAATTCAAAACTATTTTCAAATTTGCCCATTGAAGACGTTCGAAAGGCATCTGGCTGCTCTCCACTGCCTACAGCCTGCTGCCTTGCCACCTGCCCGTGGGGCAAACTGTTTGTGTTGACGCATGAAGTTTCATTAACAAAAGCTGGCTACGCAAATATTACGGCAGGCAAACAGGCAAATATTTGACACACATATTTTTCTTGAACCCTGCTCAATGACTCAACAAGTCGGCAACTGCAGTGCGCAATTTTCAACAGATTTTTCGGTTAAATATGTCAACTACATTGAGCACATCAATCGGAGGGTTTTTCTTTTCAAACTATTTTTGGATATATTTTTCGACACAGTCACAACACTTTTTGGTGCACTCTCTAATTGACTTTTGGTGTATTGGGCAAGTTCAAGTTTGTCGTTTGAGTCTTTCGTCTGCCCCTGCGATTCGATTCGAATACCATTCAATTCGACTTCTTCCCCGGACTTCGTTTATGTTTTCGGTCTCGGATATATTTATTTAATTTCTGTTGGCTGTAACTCTTCGCGTACCGGAATGTTTCGTGCTTCACGTTCGACTGTCGCCGGCGAACTGAGGCTGCGACTGTGCAGCGGTGCGCTTAAGCATCGAATTGGCCCGGCTTATACCTTAACCGCTCATGGGCAACTACGCCGACTCTTTGGTCATGCAAATTGTGGTTAAAATGAGAATTCTGTTTGATATTGATAAATTCATTTACGGCATGACATGAATTTGGGTTTTTTAAAAAGTTTTTTAAGATCCAGTTATAAATAATTTTTGGTTTTAAGCTTGAATTTAAGCCTACATTACTTCTACTTTTAAACTTTTGAGAACAAAACGAATTTGTTTTCTATTTTTCTTATAAAATACCAAAAATTAATTTTCTATTTGTTCTTTAATTTACATTAATTAATTTGTTAGTCTCAGTTTTAATGTATATATTTTTAAAGAGTATTTCCAATTCATGTTAATTTCCAATTCATGTTTTAAGCCGTATTGTGGTTGGAGACAGCAGATTAACAGTTTGTTTGTATGGCGAGCTACTCCATGGGTTTAAATTATGGCCGTACTCATTTCGGGCCCGATACGCCGGCTCACGCATAAATTATGCAAAATTATATTTCTATTTAGATTTTGGCTACCATAGGAGGCATATTCTTGGTCAAAAATATGTGTCGATCGAGCCCTGTTTTGGGCATTTAAGGCACGCAGCTCATTTGTCAGCCGCAATGCTATGGGCACGTGAAGTTCAGCGAAGCTCTCGTTTCTGTTTATTGCCACTGCGGAAAAGCAGTTGACACTGGGGTTAGGGCTAGAGATGGCCAGTCTCGTTTACCGTTTGAGATCAAGGATGCAACTAATAATCTGTGGCACAATAAGCCAAGGCAATGAGATCTCGATGTGGAAAAGTAAGCTAGCAGTTGGCAATTGGCAATGAAATGACAACTGTAAAGACAAGCCGGCAACGCAATTCAAGCCCAAAACCATTAATAAACGGCGGATGGAAATGAACTTTTCACGAAGCCCCAACTAATTAACGCAGCAGCTATTGCACAAGCAAATCGACAAGACACTTTAGTTGCAGTATTAGCGGAACAATTAAGCGGGGAATCTTTGGCAGTACTCGTATCATTAATTTATCACCCGCGTACCATGTGACCTCGTTGCCCGTATGTTCTCACTCTGGTGCTTTACGGCCGGATTTAACCAAGCGCTGATCGTAAACAAAAGAATGCCGCCGCACTGTGCAAATAAACCTCGAAACTGAAAATTAAAAACAAACCTGAAAACACTACAATATTATACATGAATTCATATTTTGTGCATTCTGCCAACGAGTTGTCTGTTGTTCTACCTCGAAAGTGTGTCACCATTTGTTTTAATTGTTCTACTCAGATGTTTGCCAAAGCGTCAATTACGACAAAACCCTAAAGCTTCAGCTTAACGATGCAAGTCAGACCAGGAAGTTTCGAAACGATTTCGAAAAGAGAAGATCCACATCTTGGCAAGCGGAGCTGGTGAAAGGCAGAACCTGTAACGGGTCTTCTGAGGGAGCCACAGATCAAGGACAGCTGCAGGTTATAGTGACGTCAATGAGTTCTTTAGACTGGAACTGCGGCCCCCTAGGAAACAAATATGCGAGTTGATAAAAGTGGGAGATCTAAAAAACATTTTGTGCCCAATTAAATGAATTCAAGTATTTCTATAAAAGAATGGGCAAAAGTTAAATTAAATTTTAAATTTGAAACTCTTTTGTTTAAATAATAATTGAAGGGCTGAGAAAATATATAAACAATAACTAGGATACATTAAAGCAATGTTGCTGAAAAAAAAAGAAAAGTGTATTTCTTTGTTCACCTTATCAACAATGAGAAAATGATAAGTATAAGTATTATAAGAGTATACATATATTTTTAATAAACGAATGGAAAAATACGTAATACTCTATACATCCTCACTTTATTTTATTTTGTTTTAAATTATTTTGATATGGTAAAATTAGTTAAATATTATTATATTACTATTATTATTATTATTATACAGGAAGTCCACAAATTTTAAAAACACAGGTAATTTGCATAATGCCCAATCGTAGGCATTATAACTGAGAGAAGAAAAATACATTTCGAGTTTTATAGCATACTTTTTGGAAAATCTGTAGAGTTTTTAACATAAGATATGTTATATAACAGTATATTTTGAGCTTGAAAGTTCCCATATTTATTTAGTTTCCATCGATCGAAATAAATAAAAAACTTGATCTTAAATTGAATAACTTTTTATAAAACTTATTTATATAAAAATTAAATGATCATAAAACTTATTGGACTAATAGTTACGACTACATTAATACATTTTCTGCATACAAAGGGAATTACTTTGTTTGTGTTAAGTGTGTGTTAAGTTTGAAGTGCTGTGTTTTTTGATCAGCCTACGACTGATAAAGATCACGAATATTAATATAGCCCCGATACGAATGTACAGAGGTAAAAGGTCGCCCAGTTTGTAGTAAACCATGAAAGAAATATCGCTTTCGTTGATTCGCATCAGGCTGGCATTCCTATGGCGCAAAGCATATTCTATCCACCAGACAGCCGAGTCCAAAGGACTAATGGGACGGTCTCTGAAGATAAATGACATTTCCTTAGCTCTTTGAGAATACTTTGGTTCTTCGATCAGATCCCGAATAGTGTCAGTTATTGTGTCTACAGAGGGGGAAGGTGTGTCCAGGACTCTTGCCATTCCTGCCTGCTGAATTTTGTGCAAGTTATCAAACTGGTCGAAAAAGAAGGGTATTCCTAGCATCGGAACTCCGCTGTCAATCGCCTCAATGAGACTCAGTAGCCCCCCGTGGGTTATGAATAGTCTGGTGTTGGGATGGGACAGGATCATCCGTTGTGGCGTCTTGGCCATCCTGTATATGTTTCCGGTTTGGTTGGGCGTTGTGGTGTCGTCGGTTTTCCACACCACCCTTTGTTTGATCCGAGAAAAACTTTTCAGCAGAGGTTGCAGAATGTCTTGTGGTAGAAACTTTAGCATAATATCAAAACCTAATGAGAAATATATCACACCGTGTTCCGCTTCGTCTAAGAACCGTTGCAGTTCCTGGCCACAAGGCTCGGGCGGTTCGCTAAGGTGAATGCCCGCGATCTCGATAATATTGGGCACATTCGACCTAACTCGCCCAAAGCTGAAATGGTTATTTACCAAGATCACTGAAAATCTGGACCTTAGCTCCTCCATTTTTTGTTCCGAGTAACCGAAGAACTTCTTAAATATACGCAATTGTGCTGGGCGGATAAGAAGACGATCCAACAACTTTTCTTCGGTTATGTATATCCAGTTATATATACGACTAAGAATCGAGGAGTCCAGTGAAAATCCCATGGGGGATATAGGCTCGTAGACGCTAGGTGCGGGATTTCCAGCCAATTCGTCGACACTCCAGTTGAGCCGTATGTAGGAAACCCCCACTAGGGTAGCGTTATAGTATTCCGCCAATCCATACACTGCATCCAATTGGCATGTCTCTATCATGATCATGTCAAACCGCTCGCTTTTGTCACTCAGCATTTTCTGGACACCGTCGTCACTGAGAATGGCAGCTGAAGTGTTGGCTAGAAATGTAGCCGCAAAAACTGCTTCTCTCCATTTGTCTCTGAAGAATTCAATAAGTTGGTTCGAATTCATAAGGTCTGTTGGAGTTTAGAGTGTAAATAATACAGAATGCGTTGTATTCGTCATAAAAATTTTACCATGCAGGTGTTTGTGCAACAAGTCCACTCGTATATGACGAACTCCCTCGATATTAGGCGAAATATGAGAGGGGGTTATGACTGTTAAGTTATGGCCTTTTCCTACTAGTTCCTTTACTAATGGTTGAATGACCGTATAGGTGGACGAGTGTCGGTATGGAAATATTCCCAAAATATTCGCAGCCTCAACAGAATTCACGTCCATTCCAAAAATCAGGCACAGGCTGAGCGGCAGCCACGCAATAATGAAGCGCATTTTTACGCATATGTCCGCTCATATCGGAGCTCACAACTCAAATGACCACAATCTAATCAAAAGTTTTTTTGTCAAATATGTCAGTCTATTGAATAAAAACAACACAGCTCTTAGATATTTAATAAAAGCTCAGTACTGATACAATATCAGCTATAAGATAAGGTTCAACAGCTGTTTGAATTAGCTTTTACACTAAATGGTTTATTCATACAATAAATAGGTGTGGAAAGTTAATAAAACTGTTTCACTTTTATCTACATAGCTTATCATCTTTGCAATAATTCACTAAAATATCATGGGGGAGCAGAGTTATCGAAACATAATCTGCTGCATCATCAACAAATTTCTTTCTTGCTGTCGTCTCTGTCGAAATCGCTGTTTTTCCAATAATTTATAGCCTAGAAATAGCACCGCCATGAGGATCATCGCGACTCGCAGAAGAAGAGGAAGCAGGTTATCCAGTTGGTAGTATGCCATGAATGGTAATTCACTCTTATTAAGCCTCATGTGGCTGGCGTTCCTGTGTCGCAGGGCATATTCAGTCCACCAGACTGCCGTGTCCAAAGGGTTCATAGGACGATCCCTAAAGTTGTAGGCCATTTCTCTGGCCTTCTGAGCATATTTTGGCTGTTCGATAATTTCGTGAACGGTGTTGATGAGAGTATCCACACTCAGAGTGTTCCAGTCCAGGACCTTTGCCATTCCCGCCGCCTCCACGCGTTGCATGTTATTGAACTGATCGAAAAATAATGGCAACCCCAGCATGGGAACTCCGCCGTTTATGGCCTCGATGACACTCAGTAAGCCGCCATGGGTAATAAACAACCTGGTGTTTGGATGGGACAGAATAATCCGCTGAGGTGCCCTCACTATCCTGTACACGTTGTCCGTTTTATTGGGCGTCGTGAAAAGTTCGTTCTTCCACACCACCCTTTGCTTTAGTTCAGCAAAGCGCTGGAGCAACGGCTGTTGCATGTAATCCGGGAGATACTTGAAGCGGATCTCTAGGCCCATTGAGAAGTAAATGACTCCGTGCTCCGCTTCGTCTAAAAAGCGTTGCATCTCCTCGTCACAGGGCTCCGGTGGATCGCTGAGATGCATGCCTCCAACCTCAATGATATTTGGCACATTGGCTCTTACCCGACCCATGCTAAAGTGGGTGTTAATCAGGACTAACGCAAACCTGGAGCGGAGCTCCTCCAGTTTCTCGGCCGAGTATCCGAAAAACCTTTCAAAGATATGCAGCTGGGCAGGTCGGACGACCAACCGCTCCAGCAAAAACTCTTCGGTTGTATCCAACCAGTTGTAGAAACGACCTAGCAGCGAGTACTTTAAGGAAGGGCCCTCCAGTGAGATGGAATCGTGGATACTTGGTGAGGGATTTCCCGCCAGGTCGTCAACATGCCAATTGAGGCGCATGCTGGCGATGCCCATGAGGGTGGCGTTGTAATACTCCGCCAGGCCGTACATGGCTTCCAGGTGACTCGCCTCTATCATGACCATGTCAAACCGTTCACTGCCGTCTTTCATCATTTTCTGCACGCCATCGTCAGTCAGAAGGGCAGTCGATATGTTGGCGAGCATAGATGCCGCCAAAATGCTTTTCGCCCATTTGGAAGAAAAATGATGCATGTAGTTATCCGAATCCATTATTTCTGCAGGTAATTAGAGACGCTTGTGAAAATTAAACAATTAAATTTAAAAGAAAGTCTACGAATTATTTATGACACACTTACTCTGAAGCTGGCGATTCAGCTCAGGGACTCGAAGATGGCGAACACCTTTTATGTTGGTTGGGGTTTTTTCGGGGGAAATAACCGTCACCCTATGGCCTCTTTCAGCCAAAACACGAACTAAAGGCCTAACAAACAAGGGCCCTGCTGTGTGAAGATAGGGAAATATTCCCAAAATATCGGCAGCCTCAGCAAAATCCAGATTGAAGTCCATTTTCAAATGCAAAAATATGATTAGCCCCAACCAGATTTTGCTTGAGCGCGTTTGCGACCGCTTATGCCGGAGTTCCATGCTTAAATGAATGCTATCTAATCGAAACTTTTTCGAAAAGCCCTGATAAAGATTGTATGATTTGCGAATCAATAGTAATAGGAAAGCTCAAATTTTTATCACGTATGATTCAATTAAACAGCTGTTTGGATAAGATAAGTTGTGAAATGGAAACTAAAGCAAAAATAGCTAAACGGTCAATAAACTGTAGTGTTTTTGTCGTATTTTACTTTATTGGCAATCTTATCATTTTAAACACTCGTATTCTTTCTTGTCTACGATTATACTTTTTGGCCAACTTATAGCCCAACAAGGTTACTATTCCAATAATGAATCCAAAACGAAGACCAATGGACAGCAAACTCTCTAACCTGTAGTACCGAATGAATGAAATGTCATCCTCATTAAGTCTTATGTGTCTGACGTCGGGATGTCGAAGAGCGTACTCTGTCCACCACACGGCAGTGTCCAGCGGACTCATCGGCCGGTCTCTGAAGCTCTGTGACATATTCTTGGCTTTGGCGGCATATTTAGGGTTTTCTATCAGCTCCAGAATAGTGCTGGTTAGAGATTCTGCGGTCAATGAGTACGCGTCTAGAACCTTGGCCATGCCGGCCTGCTCTACTCGATGCATATTTCCAATTTGGTCGTAAAATTGTGGCAGTCCCAGCATTGGTACGCCGCTGTCAATCGCTTCTGTGACACTTAGTATACCACCGATAGTGATGAACAGCCTGACGTTGGGGTGCTCCAAAATCCTCCTCTGCGGAGTCTTGGGCATTACATATATGTTATCCGACTTATTGGGCATAGTTAACAATTCATTTTTCCATATAACCTTCTGCTTTAATTGGGCAAAGCTTTTCAGCAATGGTTGTTGTGTCTCGAGCGGCAGGTATTTTATCATAATATCCATTCCCAACGAAAAGTAAATGACCCCGTGCTCAGCCTCGTCCAAAAATCGCTGCAAGACCTCATCACAAGGCTCTGGGGGCTCACTTAAATGCAGTCCTCCCACCTCAATGAGATTAGGAACGTTGGCCCGAACCCGTCCCATGCTGAAGTGATTGTTGATTAATATTACCGAGAAGCTGGAGCGGAGGTTGTCCAATTGTTTGGTCGAATACCCAAATACGTCTTTAAAGATGGCAAGCTGAGATGGTTGGTGTATCAATCGATCCAGCAGAAGCTCTTCTGTAATGTAGATCCAGTTGAAGAACCTGCTCATCAGAGAGTTGTCCAGGGAATATCCTAAGGGCGAAACGGGATCGTAGACAGTCGGAGCGGAATTTCCAGCAAGAAATTCTATGTACCAATCGGTGTACACTGCCGAAAATCCCACCAATGTGGCATTGTAAAACTCGGCAAAGCCGTATTGGGCATCCATGTGGCTTGGCTCCAAGATGACCATGTCAAAGCGGACTTTCTTGTTGCTTAACATCTTTTGAACAGAATCGTCCTTGAGGATTGCTAGAGACATGTTCTTATATATATTGGAAATCATCAAGGATTCCGACCATTTGCTTACAAAAAAGTCATCGAGAAGATCATAATCAATCACATCTACATAAATAAATGGTGTGGTAATAACTCATCTTCATAAAAATTCCTTTACACTTACCTTGTACGAGCTTATTAAGCATGGGAACCTTGATGTGCCGGATTCCCTCAATGTCATCAAGCATTTCTTCTGGTGTGATTACTGTTATTTTGTGTCCTCGGTCCCTTAGAGCAATCAAATATGGCCGCACCACTAGAAAAGGTGTAGCTTGGCAGTACGGAAAAATTCCCAAAATATCGGCTGCATGTGGCTGGTGAAAATTAGAAAATAGCCACAAGCTGGCCATTAACCAAGCACTGCCGAGGCGCATTTTCACGGTATTCGTCTGCTCATGACGAAGGTATACACTTAAATGAGTGAAATCTAATCTAAACTGGCACAGGGACCATAAAGTTCTCATCAATTCAATGGTTATCACAAAACAGCTGATAACCTAGAGATAAGATATTGTACAGTTAAAAGAATTGATTGCAAACATTTTCTTCGCTGTTTAAGAGCTTAGTAATTGCGTTTAAATATGTGGTTTAAAAAAGAACTTGCTCGAGTATTTTTATTCACTAGTTATAGGAATAATTTAAAAAAAATTTTTTTTTTTATGTTATGGGATTTATATTTAATGGTGTGTTGATGTGGACCAGGACTATTTCTTTCTTTTTTGGCGCTTGTCTTATTCTTTTGATTATCTTACAACTACTCCAACTTATAATCCAAATCACCGAAATAGTAGCGATTCCAAAGCGAAGACCCATCGACAAAAGGCTGTCCATACGGTAATACCGCATAAGAGGGATCTCATCCTGGTTTAGGCGGGTGTGGGAGACGTCCGGATGCCGCAAGGCATACTCCGTCCACCAGACGGCGGTGTCCAATGGACGCGTGGGGCGGTCCCTAAACTGTCGCGCCCTGACCTTAGCACTCTGACTGTATTTGGGATTATCGATAAGCTCCAGAATAGTATTGGTTAAAAGGTCTGAACTTAAAGACTTGAGATCCAAAACCTTTGCTGTGCCGGCCAATTGCATTCGATGCATATTACTAAACTGGTCAAAAAAGAATGGCAGCCCCAACATCGGAACTCCGCTGTCAATCGCCTCTATCAAACTTAGTTGTCCTCCGTTGGTGATAAAGAGCCGGACATTGGGATGGGAGAGAATCGTCCGCTGCGGAGCCTGGGAAATCCTGTAGATGTTTCCCGTTTGGTTAAATGTAGTGGTGTCTCCTGTCTTCCACACGACTCTTTGTCTTAGTTGGGAAAAGCTGTGCAGCAGCGTCGACTGTAGACTTTCAGGCAGATACTTTACTATTAATTCATTACCCATCGATATGTAAATAACTCCATCGTCTGCATCGTCCAAAAACCGCTGAAGGTCCTTGTTGCACGGCGCTGGGGGCTCTGAAAGGTGTATCCCCGCGATCTCTATGATATTTGGCACGTTGGCTCTCACTCGGCCCATGCTAAAGTGGTTGTTTATCAGAAAGAATGAAATTCGCGAACGCAGTTCGTCCATTTGCTGAGCCGAATAACCGAAAAACTTTTTTAAGATGCGTTGTTGAGAAGGTCGTATGACCAAGTATTCCAGCATACGTTCTTCCGAGATGTATATCCAGTTGTGCAGTCGACTAAGGAAAGAGTTTTCCCGAGAAAACCCCATTGGGGAGATAGGCTCGAGAATGCTGGGGGCCGGATTTCCAGCTAGGTAATCCAGATTCCAGTTAATACGGACGGAGCATAGGCCCATCAGGGTGGCGTTGTAGAACTCCGCCAGTCCGTAGAGAGCGTCCATGTGACCCGCCTCCAACAAGACCATATCGAAGTGCTGGGACCTGTCCTGGAGCATCATTTGGACCTCGTTGTTACTAAGTACGGCGTAAGATATGTTGTGGAATACGGTAGAGACCAACGATCCTTCTGACCATTTGTCTGAGAAAAAGTCCTGAAATTTGTCCGATTCAATCATATCTGAAGAGTAAAGAAGTATAATAGCCTCTTACTAAATTTACATAAATTCATTTAGAAATCACTAAACTGAAATAATAGTCGCAAATAACATGTGTCAATGATTTGCTAAAACTGTATATTATCAATATATTTTCTAATACGCTGTCATTCATAACAATGTGACTCACCGTTCATGTGGGTGTTGAGCATGGGGACCCTGATGTGTCGAACACCATCGATATCCTCGAACATTCCCAAGGGTGTGATCATCGTGATCTTGTGCCCTCGATGTGTCAACGCCTTCATCAGAGGCCGGACCACCTGAAACAGTTGAGGCAGGCGGTACGGAAATACGGCCAAAATACTGGCCGCCCGAACGAATTCCAAAGGTAAAATGACGTTGAAACACAGCCAGAGGCCTAGCGCTAGGCAAGTGTTGCCGAGGCGCATGTTCAAGCTTTTTGACCGCTCATTTCGCTGCTCCGAACTCAAATGAGAACTATAATCAAATGTTTTCCGAATTTATGAGCCGATTCTCAGTTCGTTCGATAATGCTCGAACTCTGATAACACAGTTATTTCCTTTATAACCAAAAATATTACTTCTAGTACGCTCTAGTAGGTTGCTCAGTATTCTCCGCTTTCAGAATATGCCCTCATGTGGTTGGTCTGTTAGGACATATGCGTTATTTATTAATTGTAGTATTGAAGGTGTTTCTGTTTCCAATTTGTAAGTCAGACTTTTTACTTCGTATACAAATTACTATTCTCTTTTTTAAGAACCAGCCTCTGCCTATGAGAACTCTTTTTATAAATTTTGAAGACTAGTAAGAATAAAGAGCCAATCACGAAACCAAATCGCAGTCCCCAGGATACGAGGCTTTCCAACCCATAGTATTGAACGAAAGGAAACTCATCCTCATTAAGTCTTATGTGTCTGATGTCCTGATTTCGCAGAGCATATTCGGTCCACCAAACAGCAGTTTCCAAGGGACTCATAGGTCTGTCTCTGAAACTGAGTGACATCTCCTTGGCTTTTAGAGCATATTTTGGATTTTCAATCAGCTCCTGAATAGAACTGGTGAGAATATCTACACTAAGAGCATTGTTGTCTAGGACCTTTGCCATGCCAGCATTCTGCACTCGATGAACATTTCCAAACTGGTCAAAGAAAAATGGTATTCCTAGTATAGGAACTCCACTATAGATAGCCTCTATTACGCTGAGCATTCCGCCGTGGGTGATGAATAACCGAACATTGGGATGTTCCAGAATTGCCCTCTGTGGCGCCTGGGATAAAACGTATATGTTTCCCGAGTAATTGGGGACTGGAGACACATCACTCCTCACTACCACTCTTTGCTTCAACTGGGTGAAGCTCTCCAACAGCATTTGCTGAATGCTTTTGGGTAAGAACTTGACTAACACATCCATTCCCAGGGAGAAATATATGACGCCATGTTCCGCCTCATCTAGGAATCTCCGAAGATCCTTGTCACACGGTTCCGGTGGTTCACTAAGATGAATGCCTGCCACTTCGATGATATTGGGAACATTGGCCCGCACTCTTCCCATACTGAAGTGATTGTTGATTAGAATCACGGAAAATTGGTTTCGCAGTTCGCTCAACTTTTTTGAAGAATGACTGAAATACTTGTTGAAGAGCTTCTGCTGGGCTGTTCTAAAAACCAAACTGCTGAGAAGTTTTTCTTCCGTGATATAGATCCAGTTGCTGAATCGGCTCATTACAGATATTTCATACTTGTATTCCCTGGGCATAATCGGTTCATATACACTGGGCGCTGGATTGCCGGCCAGTAAGTCAACATTCCAGTTGGGAATAACACAGGAGAGTCCCATTAGAGTGGCGTTAAAGTGATCGGCAAATCCGTAGAGAGCATCCAGGTGTCCCGCCTCCAACAGGACCATATCAAATCGCTCGTTTTTATCATGGAGCAACTTTTGGACACCTTCGTTACTCAGCACACTCTTGGAGATATTCGAGAGCATCGAGGCCGTCCAATACGCTTCTGCCCATTTGTTGGGGAAAAAATCCAAAAATATATTCGAGTCAAGGAGATCTACCGGTATAACAAAATAGACAATAACTCTCTTTATTGGCTACAGCACTTTCCCAAGTATTTTTGTTACTCACCCTTCGACATTTTATTCAGATTATGTACTCGAATATGACGTACTCCCTCTATGTCGGCATATATTCCAACAGGTGTTATTATTGTGAGGTTGTGACCTCGGTTTGAAAGCTCCTTTACCAGGGGTCGCACCACCTGGAAATGTGAAGGAAGTCGGTATGGAAATACTCCCAAAATATTAGCCCCTTGGCAGAGTGCCAAAAAATAAAAGTAGAGACAAATGGCGAATGCCATCCAAAACTTGCGGAGTCGCATTTTTACGCGATGCGTCCGCTCATGTCGGAGCTCCAAAATTGACTGAACACTATCTAATCTGAATTCAGTCGAACCCATGAAACTTGTATAATCCTTTTATGTGTGGGAGCGCTTTTAAAACAACCTCTTATCAATTATTGCAAAACAGAAACTAGTAATGTGCTAGACCATGGCATTGTAGAACATGGAAAAACAACAGTTTTTTTTAAATTATAGCGAGTACCTTTAGTTCAATCAAGTTTCCCTCCAGTGAATTTTCTCATAGTCAGCCTCGTAATAATATAGGTTTGTAGCCAATAATATTCAACATTATAATATATTAATTATTAATTTTTGGCTTGGGAGGAATAATTGAAAAAAAAACATTCAAGGAGAATATTAAACGTTAAAACCGTTTAAATAGGTTTCAAACCAAAAGTTTGGGGGAAGGTTCTAAAAATATCCCTTTTGACTATATGTCTGTCTATATATTTGCACTATTGTGCTCTCTTTCTTAAGTATTAATAACTAGTCATCTCACTCTAGGGAATTTTTTAAACACGCATGCGCCAAGTGCGCCATCTAGAGAGTTTTACTTTATATTCCGAAAGTACCAATTGTCCTTGTACCTAATTTGGTATAACAATTTCTGAATCCTTCCTTACTGAAATTATCCTTCCATAATTATAGGTGCGGTTTATAGAAGTCTCTTATTCTATAAAAAGTTACGAAAGCAAAATAATGATGTCAGGAAAAACAGTGATAGAACAGTTAATAGATAGATATTCGATAGATAGATAGATATAGATAGATAGATATTTATAGATATAGATAGAATAGATATTCGTTTAATTTTTTCTTATGAGGTAAAAATATGTTTTTTTTCTATTTTTTCATAACTATTATTGTTTTTGAATAACTTTTTAAAAAAATTTTTTAAATTTGTAAGTTAGCAGAAAACGTCAGTAAAATGTAATAAAAAAAGTTGAATTTAAATAAGAAAATTTGCGCAAAAATATTGGTTACATTGGTCATACATACATAGTAGTTAAAGTAGATCTCGCATGTCCCGCAAGAATGTCGGATAATTCAGCATTTAACCTTTTACTGCCCCCTCAGGTGAAGGTGTAAAATGCCATCGCTCTGCATTCGCCCGAACGCAGTCTATGGCCTCGTAAATGCAACTGTGCGTTTTATATTTTGACTATAACTCAAAGTGCATTTCAACGGCGCCTCTATTTGCATCCTGCATCCGTGTGGGTGCCTTCGCCTGGGGGGTCGTTGCATAGGGAGTGGAGCATAGAGCATGGACTCATGGAGTATCGCTCAAACATGCATGAACGGGGCGGCAAATGTTGCCAGTCGGAGCCTAGAATGATGAAGTAGTGGTAGCAACCTGCAACTGCAACGCGGCGGATGGGGACGCGGCCCAATCAAGGCCGGGCGGTGGGGGACTGGCAGCCCAAATTAACTTAACACTCATAAATCAGCGTTAACGGCAACCGCAAAAAGCGTTGCATAAAAAATGGTTATGGCTCCTCTTTTCGGGTCTCTTTTTTTTTGGAGTTGTTGTCCCTTTGACGTTTGCCCGGAATCTACCGAGGGATGGCGGGGAAGGAAATGGGATCAGTGGGGCAACAATGCATCGTTGCATTCCAAATAAACAGTTCTCGTAAAATGCAAGCTTTTGCATTGCTGAGTTGATGGCGGAAATATTTTTGATCCAAGCCGGAAGTCGGGTATGTCAGACTACAGCCAAATAAGAATTTTGAATAATAAAACCCAAAGGCTAAAAAAAATTTGATAATTTGTCATAAAAAGTATAATTTTGTTAAACTTATTATTCTAATTGTTTGCAATTTGCTAGTCTATGCAGTCTGCTCCATAAAAAATGTTCGAATCCTTGACAAGAGATTTCCGATTTTTCGGACATGCGGCGCAATCCTGTTGTTTATTTCGTCCTGTTTTAGCCCGATGTAACGGTCGAGCAATTTGGTTTGGTTGCCCAAAATTGCAGCCGTCAATTTTGGTAATTAAATTGTAGTGCTCAATTTGCCATCTTTTTAATCGCCATCCAATCATCGTTCCGAAGTAATTTAGATGGATTTCAGTTAGCGTTTTTTCCCCATCAGCATGTTGCACAAAAAAATGGCCCACAAAAAAGGGCTTGAATTGCAGTGAAATGCATAATAAATATAACCAGTGACAGGCGTGTAAATGCGTTGCTCGGAAATGTAAATGATATCAATGCGGCAACTCGAGCCGGCAATATTTATGCACTTTTGATTTGGGGCTCCCCGAAAGCTGAAAAGAATCGCGCCGGGCACTAAATCACAATTTTCCGCCAACTGGCGATGACAAAAGGCGACAATGCCGCGGACTTTTTCTTTCAAATGGAAAACCCTCAGAATCATTTTTCTCCATTCCCCCCTTTTTTTCCTTAAGCTGGCCTTGAGAAGCTTCGGACATAATTTATGCGAGCAGACGCCACCGGAAGCGGAAACGAAAGCGGAAGCTGTCTAATTATTCAGCGGCAGTTGGGTAATGGAGCATTCTGTCTGGCTGTCTCCCTTTCTGACTTGTTGCCGTATTTTGCATGTTTATCGACTGATCCTTTGCAACGTGACTCGGCAGCTTTTAATTATCTTAATGGTGCTATGCGGCGTATGCGCAATATTGACTTTTAGCGGTTCTCACACGCTAACGGCTGATGGGTGAAGGGTGAAGCGTGGGCTGTTGGGAGGTGGCAAGAACAGGCACAGGATGTGGCACCAAGAAAGGGAGTGCTGTCACATTGCACCAGGCGGCAAACAATAAAATGCCCGTCGACCCAGCCAGCTCGGCAGGTGTCGGTGCCGTGATAATGTCAACAGCGGAAACAATAAAAGCCGCAGTTGTCTTTCGCCTTTGCTGCGGGCTCTGGCTTTGCTCCGTAAAAATACAATTGCCACAGACGGCAGAGATGGTCCAGGAAGAACATGATGAGACTGCCACTGTCTTCTTCAGATGGAGATAACAGCTGATGGGCCCGGAAGGAGCGGAGCTGCTAAATATGTCGTTTGGCTTTTCCGGCTCCATTTCCACAGAATACCCAACAGATGAAAAAATGATTGTCTAGCAAATATTAACACATTATGTTAATATGTACTGTCTTATTATAGAAATGCTAATGTTCTAGAAGTTGAATAGAAAAGTATAAATCGAAATAAAAATAAAAATAAAATAAAAAACTAATGAATTTTTGTTCTCTGCACTAAAGTTTTGTTTTATTAGAAGTATACCGCTTTGATCAAGTAAATAATATAGATACTAGTCCTATTTTGAGCTCTCTTTTTCTGGGTATCACATTGAGCTGCTAACTCGGCAATTTTATTAGGGCCTGACTACTTATTTCAGACCCGGGTGTAGTTTCCGCAAATGTTTGCCGATGCTTTTCATTTCCGTTCGAGCCCAAAAGTTGACAAAGGGTTCGGCGGCCTAAGCAGAAAGTTGGCCCAAAAGTAGTCTTCGTTTTGGCCCACATAAATTGCCAGATGCTGGTGGCAGCCACTTCACACGCCGCTGACAAGCGTCAGACTCAATAAATTACATTTCACTGTTTGGTCGGTTGGTCCGTCAGTTGCCTGTCTGTTGTCTGCTGTCTTCTGTCTTTTAGCCTGGTCCTGAGGCTTCATAAATTGATGCTGGCATCGGCCTTGAACCGCTGCCCGGGCCGCTACACTTTTCATAGTGTAGTGGCCACTCCAGGGGCTTCCAGCTTCCTCGAGTGTGTGGCCAATGCAACTTTAGTTTCTGCTTCAGATTGTGCTGGTGTACTGTTTGTTTGCTCTGTGTTGTGTGGCAGCCCGCAAAGTTCCGCCCCCACTCGACCGGACGGGGATTTGGAGGGGGAAATTAAAATTTATATGTCAAGCAGGCACAGCAGAAAGTTCTGCACCAACTTTGTGGTTTGGCGGTGGAGCAGGCAACTTTTGTGCCACATTGAGCGCAATAATGCTAACAATAACAATATTACCGCCGCCCCCCACGTCCAAGGATAATGCAAACTAATGCCAAATCCACCGCCACCACCGCATCACCATGGTGGAGCTGGTGAGGATGAGCAGCTGCACTCGGTGCTTCTGCTGCCCCAGTGGCTCGTTTGGCTATTATTATTATTATTGGCCTGGCCAGACAAGCGAAAGCCAAATGCGAAAACGACTGCAGATGCAAGTGCAAGTGCAAATGCAAATGCGCTGCTCAATGGCCTTAAAGTGTCAGCTGGGGTGCTGCTCTTTGTCCTGGTTTTTGGCCTGCAAGTACCCTAATTGCCGGCTGCAAATTCCAATTAGTCGCCCCAAATCTCCAGCGTGCGAAACGGATGTAGCCAGTCCATTCGGGTGGCCGACTTTTATGAGCATAAGCGAGGCCAATAAAGCGCTCAGCCCCATGCGATTATCGCCTTCATGTTGTTCCCTGGCAGAGCACAAAATTCAACGGAAAATCAGCCTGAGCTGGCGTGCAAAAAACAGGACACACAACCAGATTGCAACACCAGCTCTCCAGTTTTTCTGTGGGGTCTTTACCAGCTTTTAAGCGTTTAAATATTTATACAGCGAAAAATGTTATGTTGGCACGAGGGCGCCCCCTTTTAGGATCCGGAGGAGCTAGTGAGACTGACTAAATGGAGTTTAAGTTAAGTGCCGCGAATTAAATAAAATGAAGGCAATAAGCAGATGTTGTGGCCACCTTTAGCATTCACAAAAAAAAAAAACTCAATAGTTCTAAAGTCAAATGCTTAAAAAAAAAGAAAATATTTCTCTTATTTTAACAAAGCATGTTAAATTATTTATTTTGGCCATTCTTTTGTAACGATTTCATCTTGAAATGTTTTAGATTATTAATTTCCTTTTAGTATTTAGTTCCACCCTGTTGACTTTTTTCGTCAAATGTTATGTCTAGACACACGCATTGTAATACATTTTAATCAACGCTACCATTTACAATTTCGAGCTGTAGCCACAAAAGTTAAAAGACCTCAG